AACATTCACTGCCCCACATAGCAAGCTGGTCTGGCCCAGATCTGGTGTCAAGCCGGCACTGCTGGCTGACTGGTGTCATGGCAGAGTCTATGTCAACCAGATGTGGGCCAGGTCTGGCAATGATGGCACTGTTTATGTTCTTATTTTCCTATTTCAGTTAGTAGACCCAAATGCCATGTTGCAATACTATACTGCTGTGGTAACCAACGTTTCAAATGCAGGTTTGCAGGTTTGTAAATGTACACTTTATCCAAAACCTAGTTTACTCATTGTTACCACTGGGTGGCTGTAGCTCAGGAGGTAGAGCAGGTCACCTGCTGATCGGCAGGTTAGTGGTTCGATCCCTGACTGCTCCAGTCTGCATGTCAAGAGTGAGAATGTGTATGAATGTAGTTAGAGCACTCAGCTTAGAGAAAGTGTGTGAATGTGGCATGTTGTAACCGGGAGAGAAGAAAAGTGCTGTATAAGAATCAGTGTCTGAACAGAGTTTCGTCATGTTACTTCTGCACTATTATGTCCCGGCGCATGTTGTTATTACATGGCTTGATTAAGGTACATATCAAGCTGACATCTGGGGCCAGAGCTGAAACTGTTCTGGGCCAACACAGGGCCAGCAGTGTGTCTGCAACTGGCCTTGTGCTGACCCATGTGTGGGTCACCTCTGGTAAACCAGATCTGGGCCACCAAAGGGCCGTCATTCTTTGCGGTATGTGGGCCATGTGTAAGCACATTGTGTGGGCCAGATCCAGGCCATACCAATTTTGCTATTTGGGGCAAAACACCATTTTCCTTTAATCACCCACTAAAGTATCTCTGTGTTCATCTGTTGCTTTATCTGCTGGTTTCTCCTCGACTCCAGTCCTCATCCACTCCTAACATCATTTATTTCTTCGTGGTACCATTCATCAGACACTTTCCTCCGTCTCAGCCCATCTGAGCTCGCCTGATCAGTCTGCATCCATTTTTAAAAGACTTCATCTTTCCTCTGGGAAACGCGGTTTCGTTCGTAACATTAGGATCCTGTCTCAGCGCTCATTCATCACCACTTATTAATACGAGATAACGACACAGTATCAGATTCAGCTGAGCACAGGAGCAGCTTTTGATCTCCTGCAGCCTTTTTACAGATTTAAGATGCTGCAGGGTTGGATATCGGGTTGTTCATTTATCGTCTGTACTCTGCTGAATCTTTTTGTTGGATACCAGCAGGACCTCCACCTGCCTCCATCTTCCTGACATCAACATTCACACACAGTAAGAGCAGCAATCTCTATAAAAACTCGTTTTCATTCAGTCTTTTCAACTCTTGGTTCTGGGCGATGGGATAAAGTGCCATCCTACCTGCTGTTTAAATATTTTATATGTGAGGGGCAGCCTATCAGAGGAGTGGGAGGAGCTAAAGCAGCCAGCCTCAGTACTTACTTTACTGTCCAGGATTACAGGATGGACTGTTTTCTGATGACCTGATGGTTAAGTTTATTATTTAGCTGTATAATATATATAATACTATGTACGTCTTCGGCTCGTGATCGTCTCTCATCCCCCCCACCCCTCCCCACCCCCCTCCACTGTGATTTTTGGGCTTCATCAGCTCGTATCATCTCATCAGCTGAGCACCATTTCACAGCTGCTGCCGTTTTGCCCCATTGCTCCCGAGTTTTATATCCACACTGGTGGGTTTTCCTTCTGGCTGACTGGTCGGTCTGGTCTGTGAGTCACAGGTGAGATTGAGGCTGAGAAAAGGGCAACCCTGGTTTCTCCGTCAGGCTGCTGCCACTGTGGCTTTTCTCCTTACTGTATGAGAGTACCTGGTTTTCTTTTATAGAATAGCACTTTATTTTCATTGTACATGTAGAATGAAATGGTGGGTGACCACACCCACTGGGCTGGAATTAAATATAAAGAGTAGACAGCAGGAAAACAGGATATATAGACAAACATAAGAGAGAGGTGCACATTAGAGAACAGTTTCAAAGTGCTTGAAAGAAGTGCAAAAGGACTGGACAGAGTCTGTGTGAGTGTCCTATGTGCCCCACCCGGAGCCTCCGGGGGGGGGCAAAGTCAGTGTTTTGGGTGGTGTTAATGACCCTCTGTGCAGCCTTCCTGCTCTCGGTCGTGGCCCCTGAGTACAAACTCCAGGCAGGAGGAGAGCACGCTCTCCACTGAGGAGCTGTGGATGTTACTCTTCCTCAGGAGACGGAGGAAGTGCAGCAGCTGCTGGGCCTTCGTTACCAGGGCGATGGTGTTGTGGGTCCAGGTGACATCAGCACAGATTGATGGATTTTAAAAACGTATAATTAACCTATTAAAAAGACATACGAGTGGGTTTGCAGTTTATGGAAGCTACCGTGTTCCTGTGCTTTATCGTCAGAGAAACTGTTCTCAGCATCAAAGAAATGAAAACCCAAAGGAAAGCGACGACGCCACGGGCACTTTACAGCCTCATCCAGAGTAAATGGAGTCGAGGTAAACAGAGGTTTGTTCTATGACTGCCATCGTAGCGAGGATTATACAGCTGGAGTAAGCAAACAGGATACGTTTGACTGCAATCTGCACGGACAAATACCTGCGATTACATTTACAACTGTAACTGTAACCAAACACGAGCTTTTCCTGATCCAAACCAAACAACTAGCTTAGCAATAACTGAACAAGCAGTTTTCTTAGAAATCAGTTATCAACCAGTTATAAACGTTATCATTTCATAGTTTAATGGCAGATAACTTCTACGTTTAGCTATAAATTACATAAGTTTTCTAGTTTTCTTGGCTCATTGCTGCAGGCTTTTCAGCAGGAGCATAGTGAGAGCGATTGTGTAACCACTGCAGGCGTCCTGCAGATCCTGGGAGGAAGTTTTGGCTTCTTTTCATATCAAACAATCTGCTCTCCAGGTGAATTTCCTGCTCTAATATATGGTTTCCTGGTGCAAGAAAGAACTTGTCTGACCTTTAAATGTAGGCGTTCTTTCAAAGAGGTTTATTTGTTCAAGCATACTCTTTGTTTTTCATGTGGCTGCAGTCAGCTTAGCATACAGATAATACTCGTTAGTAACTGGAGGTCAGTCCTTAAACTTTTAATATTCTTTCCTCTGTGGAGTCTCCCTCCTCCAACGTGCCGGCCACTTGCTTACATCCTCATCTTTTAATTCTTTCAGTACGCTCGGCTGCCTGAGAATGTATTAACAGGCTGGACATTCATCAAAGTGACATTATTCGCATTCATCCTCCCCTCTGCCGGCGCTCCACATGTTTAAGATTAATTTACAGGGACGAAGGAAACGCTGGAGAATAGACTGTCTTTTAACCGTGACTGCAGAGGAGTGTTCAGTCATATGCAAACAACAGAAGCTCCTTTAACCCAAAAGCATCTTTGGCCAAGATGACCGCACAATCCATCAAAGCCCTTATGAACCCGAGTTAGAGATGATCAGCGATCAACACCTGCTTCCTAACATCAGCAGCTCAGAGCAGCTGAACTCACCTGAGACTGTAGGAATCACCAATACATATGAGTTCATGTGTTCAGTCTTCATTTCATGTCCCTCCAGTTTTTATGAACAGCAAAGTTTATGAACTGTTTGGGAAATTGAAGCGCACGTGACTCCAGATTCACCACCGAGCCTCTCGCGCCGCTCAGACCCAGAGTTTGTTTTTTGCGTATTTTTTGTGAAAATGTCATAACCCCCCCACTGAAGCAGAGATTCATCCTACTCAGCTGAGTCTGAGTCGCCAGCAGCAGGATCCTCATGTGCGTCTGCAAAGTTGTTGTGAACTTGTTAGTTATGCCTCTCTGCAGCCGGCTTCTTTATGCAGAGGTGTTCTGGTTCAGAGCACTGAGGAAACAGCTCTGTGGCCACCGCTGTTAGTCCAGCACCAACATTTCCCTGCTTCAGAGTGCTGCTAGCATCTACTAATAACCAGTGAGTGAAAACACATCCGTGTGGAGGAGGGGGACGGGACACATAAAAGCACCAGCAGGACACAAACCAACGTCTCCGGCATGTAAACCTGCGGCTTGACCGCATTTATGTGACTAACATGTGACTATTATCTGTTAGAAGACAGCATTGCTGCAGCTGCTGCATAAGAACGTCAGCTTGATGGGCAGAAACCTGTTACGACTCGTCTGAATAACGTCTCAGTGAGTGGCCACGTTGCAGTCTACACTGTGAGGGTGTCTTTCTTTGGATCCAGACAAATGTCTGTAACGTGTTTGCCGTCGGGCATCTCTGCTGATGAAACTGAGCTGTGAAGCTTCTCTCACAGGAGTCGGGGAAAGGAACGTATTCAAAGTGCAACAGAGCAAAGAGCAGAATTGGTTTTATTGTAAAATTAAATCCTAACTTTAAAAGGCACATTTTTGTGGGGCGTTGTTCCAGGCAGAGAGGCCCAGATGTTCGTCTCGTCCTAGTCACACACCTGAACCACGTCAACAAAGCAGCAGCTTTACTCCGAGTCGCTCCGTAATGAAGCATCACCTTGTGTCTAAGGGAGAGGCGTCGCGTCAAAGAAGCTTATTTCCACCACCTGCGTCCATTAAACTTTCTGTCACTACTCAGAGCTCGTGGCACAGGTGGTAAATCGACAGCTTCTCATTAACTTCTCACCAGCACAGCGGAGCGGTGCAGCGTTTATATCACACCTGACGCCGCATCAAACCTGCTGCCAGTTCCTCTCACCTGTGAACAGGACGCTGAGACACCTAAACGCTGGTCCAGGGTGGGTCCACTTCACAAGCTTCACCCCACTTCACAGGCTCACTTAACTGCCCCAGTGTGAGGTGGGGGTCACCACCCCAAAGCCCAAAGAATGACATCATGAGCAGATAAGATTTCCTTCAACATCTTCAGAGTCATTTTGTTGGTTTGTCCTCTTCACACCATGATGCGCGCTCTATCCTGGTTTCTGCAACTGTACCTGTAGAAAAGCAAGCCTAACCTCTCAGATGGACCGTTCATTGTAACCGAGGCGTTGATCGCCTTTCTTCTGTTTCTGTTTCAGGACGAGAAGAACCAGGTGCTGACCACCAACATCTGGCTACAGCTGGTGAGTTTTCTTTCTGGTAAAAGATTAAGATGATCGTAGAAAAGGGTCCAGACGGTTCTTACACCAACTGTAAAACATTCGTTTTCACACCTTCAACCCACTGACTGTATAAAGATGCACATGAATATTACATCTGTTAATGTTGTTCTGAGCTCGTGCTTGTGGTGCTCAGGTGAGCCGCCTTTACCTGTCAGGCACGCTGGAAACATCAGCGGTTTCCAGGAGACGTAGTTTCGAGTCTTTTTCCTCTTTTCTGTCTTTTTTATATGTTTTTACAGCCGAGGCTGAGCGCGTTCTACGCCTCAGTGAGAATCCGTGTATTTGCCAACATGTCAAACTTTATCTTGAGGGTATGTTTGTGCCAGCTTTGACATTTAGAAATGGACGTCCCTTTTTGGGGGGAGTTTAGTGTAATGATCCATAACTCACTGCCGGAGGATTAGTTCAAGATATGAGCTAGCCCTCCACCCAGCCTCCCCCTGCCGTCACCTGCAGAGAGTTAAAGCAGGGTGTCCGCCAGCCGTCGCAGGCGGGAGTCTCGGTGGCAGTCGGGATGGCGAGCAAACTGACTGTTGGCAAAATAAAGCGAGCAAACACTGACGATGAGTAAAAGCCTGCAGCCACGCCGCCCCATCCTTCCACAGAGGATGAACTCCAGCTCTGCCACTTGACCCAGATACAGTGAGTTTGCTGTGATGGAGAAAAACTCCAAAGAGCAGCGCCAGCGCCGCCTCTCTGTCTCCACGAATGCTGAGTGAGCCTCGCCACCTCCTGCTCTTTGACGCTTTACATCTTCTCCGTTCGCTTTGAGCCGGTCTCGCTCGGAGGAAAGCCAGTTTTCTTTGTTTTCCTCGGGCAGGGCTGACTCTGGTGTGAATGTCAAAGCTAATGGCGAGCGCAGGAATCCATTAAGAGAGCTCCTTAAGCCCATTTCACACAGCTGTCCAAATTTAATTAGGTTTCATATCAGGGCCTGTGGAAAGTGCGTTTGTACGGTGGCGCTGCACTAATCCGGCCTAATCTGCTCCTCTCGGATGGAAAGGTTGGTTCCTCCCCAGAGGCTCTCCCAGGACCAATGACTGTTTTGGCTTAATTTAATTTGGCTTCAGCTCCTCTTCCTCCTCCTCTGCTGCTGCTGGAGTCATTGTTCAGGGTTTTATTGTGAAGGGGAAGAATGTCTTTAAGCGAGGAGAAACATTTCTGCAGCGGGAGCTGGGAGGCTTTTTAATGTCAGTGTTCCTGCAGCTTTTGTTCGTTTCCTCCTGGCAGACGAGAAACTTTGACTCACCGTGAGAGTAAAAACGGCCTCCTGGATCACATTTCTTCCTTCAGGGGCTCGGAAAGAGCTTTCACGTTTATTCTGCAATGATTTTGTTGAGCATTCGTCCCATTTACAAGCTGTTTGTACCCAGACGCACAGACTCAGAGCAGCATAAAGGAGCGTGAACACAGAAAAATGACGCTGTACTTTAACTCTTACTCCACTTAAAACGAACAAAGCAAATGAGCAGTGAGGATATTTACCGCCTTAAACACCTTAGCTGTGATGGTCTTTGGCCCTCAGGTTAAAGTTTTGGTTTTGAGATTTATCTTCAGCTCCAGTATTTTTTTATACTTTTTAGCCCTCAGCCATGAAAGGCTGCTGGAGGGTCGAGAGCAGCAGACGCTGTAGAGCACAGAGTTTGAATATCAGTGACCTCAAGGTCAAAGTCAGAGGTGCAAATGTAGACACTAAAGAGTCACAAACCCGGGGCACAGAGATGTTACAGGTCTAATCAGAAAGACTTTATTCCTCGAAGGGGAAAGCAGGAATGAAACAAACCAAATAATAATGAATAAAATCGATGCACTAAAATCCCACACAGTCCCACGATTGTCCTACGACCTACAACGAAGCGGTTAAAGACAGGAGATGAATTCCTCTTCCAGAGCGGGGATCAGCTTAGTCCCAGGAGGACGAGGAGAAGCCTCCCGTCTCGTCCCTCCACCTTGCACTCCGCAATCGGTCCCTCGCTCGCTGCCATCACCTCTTCCCTCGTGTCATCGCCCTGATAACAGACAGATTCTGGCTAGAACCATCGCTTGGGAAGCTGGCCTGGCTAATAGCCATGCCGACCCTCAACACGGTTGCTCCCGGCGAACAACAGTGGAGACAGCCGTACTCGATCACGCACGGTTTTCCCCGCTGGCCGCCATCTCTGTCGCTGGAAACTGGGACGCTGGTATTTTGTTATTTCCTGGGTGATCAGCGTTAATGATCGCGTTGACTTCCACGCCTCTGTCCTGCGTTTGGGTCTGAACGTCCTCTGGGATTAATGACACACACAGCCACATGTCATCAGTTAGTTTCCACGATGAATGCAACAATGTAACGTGCAGGTATTTAGTCCAGACTCTGATGACTGTCATGACATCACTGCATCAAAATGACTGAAAAAATGTTTAGAGTTGATTCAATATTCAGGGCAAAAAAAGTAAAAGTTGTTATCATAAGTGTGCATTCACATGCTGCCCTGTGATTGGTTGATTAGATACTCGTGTTAATAAGCGTGTGGACCTAATGAAGTGGCCAGCGAGTGTAATAAACATGAAATTCTTCTTCTTCTTGTAATAAAATAACAGCAGCTCGAAGTTAAACCATTAAAATAAAATATCTAAAATATTGTATTTACCTCACGATTTTACTGCTGCCTGTGGTGACGACAGGATCATCTTCAGCTCTTCAGCAGCTTTTACACGTTTAGTCGTGTTGAAACAAATAATTAAAGTGTTTGGAGAGGCCTTATAATAATCAGCGGCTCTTTCAGAGCTCCAGAGTCTCCCTGAAATCTTCCAGAATAAAAGCGGTGCCTTGTCTCTGAGCTGCTGCATTTCTCTCTTTCTTTCTGAACCTTATCTCGTGGATCAGTCGGCCTCTCCCTTTGTACTGTGCAGGTTTCTGTTGGTCTTATCCGGCTCTGACTTGTGAAGCTTGGGAGGCTTTGAACATCCTCCCTGCTCATTGAAATTACCTGTGAGCTCTCAGAATCAAACCGGCTTCCTCGGCGTGTTCTGAAGTTTCTCACATGTTGTAGTCTCAGTGGTTTCCATGCTAATGCTAGCGGAGCGAGGAGTTAATGTTGTGTTTTATTACGTATTTCAGCAAACCTCACGGAGTCAACATATTCCTCCTGAAAGCTAAGAAGTAAAACGTCATCCCAACTCTTTTAATATTTCAACAGTCGCAAGAATTGAATATGTGAAATGAAAACTGAAGGCCTTTGGATGAAAGCGCTCTGATCTAAATCACCAAATCTCTCAAACTGGAAAATTAATTGGATTAATCTTAATATTTAATTAGTAAAAAATAAAATATTTAGGCTTCTCTGTTTGCTCCGTACGTCTCAAAAACACGCTGAAAACCACCTTTAAGCTTTGCTGCTTTACACGCTCGTGCGTCTGTGACGCTTTGACCCAGTTTCTCCAGCTTTGCTGACAGTTACAGTCGAGCAGCACGGTGCACTGAGGGACGGTTCATCCAGGTGCACATTCAGGTGTTCACAAGCAAAGCAGCAGCTCTGCGTTACTGATGGCTTCCATTACAACAGCTGGCCTGTGTTACCTTTGTAAGGGATCTTGTGTAATCAGAGTAAGTGATGGAGAATAAATCAGTAAACGATACACAGCACAAGATGTACTGGCTGGTTTACCAAAACATTTCTTATAACTTTAACTGAAACCAGCTAGTTGTTTCTAATTTGTGATGGAGCAGTTTTACAAAGTCTAATGCGGGAGGCTAACGTCGTTTAGCTAGCCTCCTGCATTATTTGGTCACATTATTTACTTATAACTAAATAAGTATCAACTTTACATGAATGTATCTACTGCTCTCACCTGAAACAGTAAAACAGCAGCTCTGGGTTAATGATGGCTTCCATTACAACAGCTGGCCTGCGTTTCTTTGTGCCGCTGCCACCTACTGGTGAAACTAAATATCACTTTAACACCACATCAGACGGGAGCAAACGAGCTGTTTGCGCTGTGCTATGATGTAATGATGTAAACTACTGTCATAACAAAAGCAAAACGAGGGGAGCACGACCACATTCAAAGAACAAGAATTCTCAGCCTTGTTTTTAACACTCAGGGTGACACAATACCAAACCCCATTATCCAAACTCTCGGCATCACTTAACACCGGATAAAAGAGCTGAGATCCGCAGCTTTGTTGTTGGTGTGAATGTAATAATCCAGCTGTGATCCCTGATAATGCTGAGTAATTACAGAGTGAGAAGAGAGCCCGTTTTACACCATGACACGGTTGGAAAGGTGTATTTGGTGAAGTCTAACTGTTAGTGACACACTTTTATTGATCTGTCAGATGAACAAATCTGCAGTGATGCAGCAGTAACTGAGCCTGTGGGCGTTTACGCGCCATCAGTGCGTCCAACCAGTGAGGCTGCTTTACTCTGACGTGATGCTTACAAAGTAAGTGATGACATGTCTTTGACAGACGCGATGATGAAAGGACATTAATGGTAATGGAGTCACACTTTTATGTTTCTTGTGTCATAACTTAAAAGTTATTATATGCACAGCGTCACGTTTTTGTCAAACATCAGATGCGCCCTGCATTTTTTACAAAAGTCAGAGGCTTTTTGAGGGGAAATATCTCTGCAACAGTTCAGCTCTCAGTGGAGTCCTCCGGGAAAAACATTTCAACTCAGTGACAGGAAGTAAACAAGATGAAGAGGGATGTGTGCGACCTTCAGTCACCACAGCCTCAAACCGTCAGCACGGACCACAGAACTCGGAGAAGCTCGGAGACGTAACGAGGGCCGAGCCTGCCGGGGAGCCAAGTATGCAAATGAGGCGATTCTTGGCGGCGCTCCGTCCTCTCTCAAACACCCGGAGCTAACAATGGCTGTTACATAAGATCCATCAGTGTAATCTGGATTTCACCAGCTGAGATTTGGAGGTCAGGCAAACAGGAGCCAGCTGCTGCTGATCACACAGAAGAA